TTGTTATAGTTTGAGCTTTTTTAGCAACAACTTTTTTGTACATAATAATTTGATTACTTAATATAATAAAAATTAAAATTTTTATTTTATTGTGTATTTAGACGAAAGAGAATAAAAGAGAGAGAAACTCACGAGTGGGTGGTTGAGCTAGTAGGGGACTCTTCCAATTTAATTAAAAATTTTGATTTCAAGTTTTAAAAATGCAATTCCGTTAAAACTCATGAGGAGTCCTGGCCAGATTAAATCCAAATTAGTCGATAACTCAGTGAACTTCCGTATATCGGGTGATCCATAAAAAAAAAATTTTTTTTTGATTAATTAAATTATAATATTTTTATTTAATTAATTAAAAATTCTCTCTTCTTTTTTATTTTTCTCAATTTAAATATACTATTAATTTCAAATTAAAACTTTTTAATTAATAAATATTAATTTAATCAAATTTTTACTAGTGTATTTTTGATAATATGTTATGGTTTGAGAAGGGCATCTTGCCGATCGACACGCGCTCGGCTAGTTAGCACATTTGGGCGACTCATGCCTTTTTTTTTTTATGAATGTCAAAGATTTTGGACGTATTTAATTTAATTGATTTTTAAATTTTCTCAAATGGTTAGTTAAAAATTTTAGAAAAATATAATTACATACTAATTTTAAATTATTAACTAATAAACAGTTAAAAATAATAAAACAATCTTGAGTCAAATAAAAAAGAAATTAAAAAAATTATTTTTTTATATAATTCATTATTATCACATCTGCCATAAAAAAGTCAAAAACACTAAAATCAAGCAAAAGTCTAGAAAAAAAATTTTGATTCAATGATTTATCATTATTGCCAAAACGGTTGCACAGTATGGGGTTTGGGAGAGGGTTTTCAATCTTTTCTCTAGTGCTGGTTTTGGGGGAGCAATAATTGAGAGTGAGGGTTCGATGCAGAAATCCCGGTCAAGCAATTCCTGGCCCAGTTGTGGGCTCATCCATGCAAAGCCGTGAGTCGTGGCTACCTCTTCCACAAAGCATTCGTGTCCCCACTTTCAAGGGCTTAATTTTCCATTTTCTCACCTACTTTAACTTTATGCAAAAGCAATAATAATATCTCCTTTGTATTTCAAATCAAATTACTTCAGAGTAAGCCTAATTATTGGACCCATTAGTTACTTTTTAGATAATCTAAGAAGTGGGTTGCATTAGGTTTGCTTTTACCTTATTGACCTCAACTTTGGCAAAAGTTCCAACCTTTATCTAAATCCCACTCAATTATTCTAAAGCTATCAGTAATGGAAGGGTAAAACCTGCTATCATTGTGCTTTTGACCCAAAATACAATGTTGTTGTGGTTAGGTAATGCCTCCTAACTGAAAGTTATCTAAAGCAGGGAAGGGGAAGGATGGTTGCTGGGGCTGGAGCCTAATGCCTTCATCACTACCTAGAAGACACATGGAGAGAGGTAAAGCTGAGAAAACCAAAATCCCAAGTAAAAAGGGTAAATGAAACAATTAACAGAGGTTTTGCAACCAAGGAAGAGAAGGTTCATTTCAAATTGCACCAAGCTCCTGGGTGCCAACATATTTCTACAATTAGCATTGCCTTTTTCCGATTCAAGTCAAATTGTGATGACCTACATATCAGATATGACAGGTTACAAGGAGAATCGATCTGCCTCTTGTAAAAAAGAGGGCTATAACTCAACACAGCCGCATCTCTGGAGCTGACTTCAATAGGCAAAATTTGGCAGGCGTAAATGATGGCACAGGGTGGTGGGGAAGAGGAAGAGGGTGCTACCTATTTAAGACATCATCTAAAGTTACAGCAATGTGCCTGACCTCTCGCCAGCTTGTCCCAGAGGCAGATCATCTGCCTTGGGGATTGGTAATGAGCGGTAAAATAGTCCTGCATGCAGCCATATTGACAGAATTTCCAGTTGTGGGAATACTGGACGGGTGTGGAACTGTTGAATTGTTCAACCCACATTCCCATGCTCACATCCTCCATCTTGAAAAGCTGCACCAAAAGGAAACATAAGAATTCAATTGAAGAAGAAGAAGAACAACAACAACAACAAGAGAAGGCAGCATTCTATGGGGAAATTGGTAACTAACCCTTAATCTTCTGTTGCCATGTTGTGAGACAATATATTTAGCAATATCACTGGAAATTATATATCCAGGTCCATTTGCATAAGGAGGATACACCGCTTCTGGCCATTCCTGTTACATTGAGCAATAATTCTTCAGATATTGAGAATGCATACAATAAATTTACATTTGTATTAATTAAGATATGTTTGTCAACCAGAATGCATATTAAATTAACTTCCATATTAACTTGGGCAGCTACTATCATTACCACTGTCCTATCAACTTATAATCCAAGATACACAAGCCAAAACATTAGTAATTCTCTGCCAATATACTACTTTCTGCAGTCTGAAAGTGATATTCACTCCATCTTTTGAAAGCATATACTCAAAGTAATATCATAACTCAGTAAACATTATGCAGTTCTCAGGGAAAAATGAAATAAGGATACAATTACCTAAAGAAATATTTAAGTGAACAAATTACAACGAGAATTGGCTGTCCGTGTAGCAATTCTCTGCAGAAAGGTCAAATAGCACCTTATTTTCTTTAGGTGGTTAAAATGGCCCATCATGGAAAAAGAATTGATGGTATTCAGCAGCACAGCTTTTACCTAATAAGTCTGCTCAACAATCCCTAAGGGCCTTCAAAAATTGGGAGTCAAAACTAGAGTGCTGGCTTATTTGGCCATATACCATGTGTCACTTATAGCAGTTTCTAAAACGGTTTCACATTTGCTCAGGAAAGCAATACAATTGGAGAACAGAATAAAAGGGAAGCTCCATTTTGGAAATGAATAAAAACTTGTAATCAGAAAGAGGAAAGAAAAAATACTCCTATTGTCCACATACCTCATAAGTAACTGCCCATTTTCCACTTCTCAAGGGACGATGTAAGAGGTTAAGATTACCCATATAGAGGGACTTTTTGGGAGAGATTCCTTCAATTTCTTTCAAGACAGTTTCCACTCTTACAAATGTGTCATCGTCACATTTCATGATGTAAGCAGCTGTTGCATTCTGAACCTGCTCAATGGATGTCATTCTATGTAACATTCTAATAAAATCAAAAGTCCAGAATAGAGATATTCATCAAAAAAGATTTAGAGAACCAGAAAACACTTCAAAAAAATTCGATAAAGGAAGGGAACTCATCAACTCACCCCAAACTCGCAAATAGCAATGGTTTTAAGAACCACAAGCTCATATCGGTCCATAAATGGTAAAATCACAATATCACCAAAATAAGCAGCCTCCTTCTTCAGCACTATATTCACCTCCATCCTTGGGTTCTGCAAATTGATTTCAAATATAATTAGAAACAAAATGAAGACACAGAAAATGTAACATTAGTTATCAGAAAACAATATTATGAAAAATGACAGCCACTTAGGCACTAGAAAGAACAAGTAAATGTATGAAAAAACTAAACTGGCTCATTATGTGACACTTTCTGCTACTCATAGAACAAAAATTTTAGATATATATATGGAACGAGGTATGCAATTTATTTTAAAATTTAATAACTGCCAGAATCAAAGTTTCTCAGCAACCAAACCCTGGTCTAAATAGGCACCATATTCACACATATGCTAGTTCTCTTCATGCCCTCTTTAGTAACCAAGTTACCATCCAGGCTATTGAGGTTTAATTTAATCTTCTTTACATGAATACAACTATAGATACATTTCAGAGTAATTACACAAAACCATAGAATAAAAACAAATACAAAGCATTGAACGTCAATCAAAACAAAATAATCCATTTAAGTATTATTAAACATCTAAAAGATTACATCCTTTATTCTGCTTTCTTAGCCATCAGAATAAGTTAATTATATTCACTCCACTCAACGAAGCTTTAACTCCAACTAATAGCATAGGTGCAAAACTCAATTGTACTTATAAAGATATACATAACGATTTGTATGCAATCAAAGATCAACAAACAAGTGTTAAAAGTCGTTATTTGCAAAGCATCAATGCGTGATTATGTTAAGCCAAAAAATTTGTTTTCCTCTTTTAGTTAACCTTGCATGGGTTGGATACTTTTTCTAAATTTTTAACTGCAAGTTTAGTGTGGAACACATTCTAATTGACTTTCACTGCTATAAACAAGTACTTTCTGAAACTAACATATCTCATACTTCTCATAGGTGCATCATCACACATTGATCATTGCATTCATCAAAAGTTAGCTGTTAAATGACCTACAATGCCTAAAAGAGATAATTACAGGTGCCTCACCAATGCAACAAAGAAACGAACTACCACTTCTGAGGATTTGATCATTGAAGATTGCATCCAAGTTTTTCTCACTGCCATGCGTTCAGCAAAGTGATTGGTAGCAGAAAGAACACCAATAAAGAGTTTAATAGGGCTCTTAGGCAGAAGAGGAGCTTTCAATTTTGGAGTCATTTCAAGTACTCTCTGAGGCGAGAAACTTGGATGAGATGAAGGAAGAGATGTTGCATAAACAGAATGAACATGCACATCTCCTTTTATTGCTAATCCTGTTGCATCTTCAAGTGTAAAACCCTGAAATTACAACACAAACATAATGAGCAAGGCAAATTTGTCCAAATGAAAGCAAAAGGAAAAAGATGCAACATGACATTGAACTGTAATACTTTTAAGAGAAAAATTATCATCATAATACAACAGCAAAATGATCAATCATTAGCTTGCAAGAATATATTTCATATTATCACCCAATAACTTCTCTAGCAGATAAGAGAATGAAAAAGCAAAAAGGGGAAACCCAACCTAGCATGTGAAAAGCACCACAAAATAGAAACCCCTGAAGAGGCTACAAGACAATTACTTAAGGCTCTTCTTTTAACTGAATAGGAATAATAAATTAATAAGTAAACCACCATAGAATGTTTGGATGTTCCAAAAGCACAAATTTTGAGTTTCATAGGCAAAAACACCTCATATATAAATGCAGGGATAGGGATGTTCGACAGTTAGTAAGAGTAAACATCACTGTTTCATCATATTAAGCAGCATACCGTCCGATATGGAAATGATGTAATGTGTCGACCCCCAACATTAATATGGAATCCGTCAACACCAGCACGCAGGGTCAATATAAACAACCGGCCCTCTACAAAAGGAAATGGCCAAGTAACTTCCGGTTTCTGCTTCCGTCCTATGAACCTTTTGAACCATGAAGCTGTCTTGGACTCTTTTGAGTCTACAATATCATTTCTCATCCATTTTTCACATCTTCGATATCCATCAACTGCCAAATGTATGTACTTCGAATGTGTTAGAAATTGAATGCACACAGCAGAAGCAAAGGACAATAGTTCAGACAACATCACAGAAATCCTAAAGCAATAACTGGCTTAATACCAAATATCAATGAATTAAGTCTAAATATTTGCTTGGACTTGGAGATTCATATATAATCAAATGTTTATAATTTTTTCCTTTTCTTTTTGCCTAATATATTATAAAAACGTAAGCCAAAAACCAAACAGCATTTGAAGCTAAAATGTTAAGGTTCCAGACTCCATATAGCTAAAACTTTCTTGATTTTGAGATTTCAGGCATAAACTCAAAGCTCATTGACACATCTGCCACAAGGTATGTCTCAAGCCATAGAGAATGGGACCCAAAAACATCTCAAAATTCCAATCATGACTTTTTGGGAATTGTCCTTATGAACACACCTCAATAATTTTGATTGAAGTACCCTTTAGACAGGAAGCCTTAAAGCATCATCATTGATACATAGAAGAAATCCAATGCCTCTGCAAGGCCAATAGGAATATAAAATCTTTTCTTCCATAAATTTGATTCTTTAAATATAGATTCTAACATTTTATTTACCTGTCACCATATTCTCAGACCTAAAATCAGCAAAACAAGTTTAAAGTTTAAACTCACTAATTCGTTCTTTTAGGCACAAGATTGCACAAGGAATTAGAAGATGATCAATTATATTGCATAATAAAAACTCACCAAGAACATCATCATCATCCATGGATGGTAAACCATCACATCTCTGTGCTGTACCCCATTGCATTCTGTAGCATGTGTTGTGCTCAATGACTGGTCTATGACTCCAATCTCCTCTTAATCGAGGATTCAAATGCAAGATCTTTGGTGGATCCTCACCATCAACAGACTTTAGTCCTTGCAATTCAACTGTAAAATGTGAAACCATGACGGTGCCATCACCAAACCTCTTCCTGGCAAGCTGTGGCACAAACTCCTGATGAGCATAATGTGGCCTTCCCACAACTGTAATAGAAGAACCAGCAGCAAGACCACAAGGAAGGAACATTAATCTGTCTCCATTTGACAATTCTTCTCCACTCACTGATAACCATGAAGGGCAAGACTCAGGCTTCCCCTCATACATGGAACTCTGTCCAATCTCCTTTCCATCAAACTTATCCACTTCTTCCCAGGCCTTTAATCCCAATGTCCAAGCTTCATCTGCCATTCTCTCAAGCACTGACAACTCACTAGTTCTATTTCTTCGTCGCATAATCTCACCTGTTATTCGACCATATCGGTGCTGAAGTGGCTTTAATGGCTGCAACCCACCTTTCACCTCCTCCAAAGGTCCCTTGTTAGGCATCAAAGGTGCATCTTTCTGGTTATCTTCCAACTTTCGGTGAAATGCATCCTTGTAAACAGAAAATAATGGTCTGTTTAAATCTGCCTCACTGGTATCCTCCATCAATTTCCCATCCAATCCAATATAAGTATCATCCCCACTCAACATTGCCGCTATTTCCAAAAAATGTGGAAATTTAAATGCAATGAAGACCAAGTACAATACTGCTATACCAAATAGGAAATGAGACAACTTGCACCTCCTAGCATTAGGAGGTTCACCTTTAACCCTCTTCATCCTACAATAGCAACAATACCCAGAAAAGGAACGGCACAAAGAACTTCATAAGACCCAAAAATCTCTTAAACCCGTATCTCCCTCCAGCAAATGAAACCCAAAAATAATCTATAAAAACCCAGCGAAACAAGCAGAACTGGATGTACCCAGATTCAGAAAGTAAACCCTTTTGCAGTTTTATCACCTCGGATCAATAAACCCTAAACTTAAAACAATAAAAGAGAACAAAAATCACCTAAATTTAGAGCGAACAAACTCGAACCTCCGGTGAATCTGAAGAGATCAAGTTCACCTATCAACTGATATCGCAATTAAGCCACATTTTGCGATCGAGATGCTGCGCCTCAAACCCTAAACTCCTCCACATTTCACCAGCATTCTTGAAACACTTTCGACCTCAAATTGACGTGTTTAGAAGAAAACGGGCAAACAGAAATCCACCACACCGCCGTAACTAACATGAATCTTAGGAACCAAGGCAAGTGGAAACCGCACTGAGTTCCGATTGTGTATGGGTTGCTAAATGGGGAAGAAACAAATACAGCGTAATCTGTAACGTGTTTAAAGAGTTCGATAGTGTCAAAACAAAGTGTAGAGAAAATAAGAGAAAGCTGAGGGACTTGAAAATTGGAAAAGAGTGACAACACAATGAAGAAATAAGTCCCCTTTAAAACAAGGCATTTACATTTAAGTTCATCAAAATAAAGTTATGTACATTTAGTTGGCAATGGGCAACCTGGCTTGATGGTCTTATTCATGGGCATAAACCTAATTTAGCCCTTTACCTTAATAAATTTATAAGTTTTAATCACTCACTTTATATTCTAACACTTTTACCCCTCACTTATAAGAATTAAAGAGAATAACCATTACTTAATATCTTGTTAGCTGACTGTTAGTTCTGTTAGTTAACTATTAATGTTATTAGCTGATTGTTAGCATTCTGTTATAAAAAAATATGAAATTTAAATTCAATTTTATTTGTTAGTTTCGTTAATAAAATGCCAATAGACAACTAATAAAGTTAACAATTAGTTAATAAAATTAACAGTTAACTAATAGAACTAACAATCAACTAACAAAACTAATAAAATGTTATAACTTGACGTTAAGTAAAAGTTATTTTCTTCAATTCATATAAATGAGAAACTAAAAGTGTCATAATATAATATAAAATAAATAATTAAAAACCTATAAACTTATTAGAGTAAAAAGTTAAAAATAAGTTTTTGTCCTTGTTCATGACTCAATATGCGCGCGCATGTGTGTGTGTTTTTTTTTAATTCTTTTTAACTCTAGTAATCGTTCCTTGTGAGTGATGAGTGGGGAAGAAGAAATATTAAGGATCATTGGTGGGGTTTGAAGTATGAATTTCCACTTTAGATATATTTTTTACTAAAATAAAATGATTTTTGCTACCTACTCTATAGATTTGGAACAATGTTTTTCTTTTACTAATTACTTTTTATAGTCATTTCTTCCAACATGAAATCTCAATTTTTAACATCAGGATTTCCCCTGGTTCTAAGGAACAAAACTGTAAATGCTTTTGATTCTCAAAATGTTATGTTCAAATCTTCATTTCCTAATTATCAATAAAAAAAATAGATAATTTAAAATATTAAATGAATTTTACAGGTTCAACATTATTTACCAAATGCACCATAAAATATGTAAAAAATATCACCTTATAGGTTTTCTTTCTTTTGGTGAAATATCACTTTATAGTTTATAGTGTGTTTCTTTTTTTCTTTTCTTTTCTTTTTCCTTTGTTAATTTTGGTTTCAAGGAGATAGCGTAGGGTACAGGGGCTCAATTAGCCTAAAAGATAAGTTTGAGGCTGAAATTGAGAAAAGGAATTAAGCTTAGGACTGATCATTATTTACACAAATCTAAAATCCTAACACAATCCGGGTCCGGGTTCCTACGTCTCGGACTCGTTTTAGGTACGCCTAACGGGTTCGATGACGTGGGCCATGGCTATGCCGACCCGACCCCTTATCCATTTTTCAGAGAGACACAATAAGGACTGAACTCCCCAAACATGTCCTAAAGCCCCGGTTGCCGGAAGACTAAACCCCGATGATTGTTTGCAGTCCTCGCGTGCTCAGTCGATGATGGTTCATTTTCTCAGGAACCAAACAGGAAGCTAGATAAAGTATATTGAATTCCATTTTCTAAAGATTTTTTGTTTTTTTGTTTTTCTTTTATTTTGCCTTCAAATGTAAAATAGATTATTAGCAGGTTCGTTATGCTTCATGCTGTGCTAAATAAAAATGGGGTCTTTGTCAGCTACCTTTATTTACCAAGGTTCGTTCTTTCTCCCCAATTCTTAAGAGGATCAAATTTTTCATATTTTAATTGCTTTAAAACGAGGAGGAAATGCATATGATTGCATTATTTTTGTTTTGAACTGGCAGATAGATGCTTGCTTGCTGGGAAGCCAATTTCCAACCACTTGCAGGTTTATTTGTTTCAGATATAATCATTTCTCTGTTTTTTTTTTTTTTTAATAATTTTGAATTTGCTTGAGTTTCAAGCATGTTGTTGTAATTAATTAGTGATTCTCAATAAAAGCTGATATTTTTAATTGCTAATAAATTTGGTCGGCAAATTGGTTGAATCATGTTTGGTAGTTGGGGGGAGCTTGGAGAAGAATTCTGCCTGAAAATAATGGATAATTGGACTTTCCTTTTTTATTTTGTAAAGTTAAAATGACACAATTGCATTATTCAATATTATGTTCCTGAATCCGGAGCCTCTTGAGACTAAGGGTGGTTGCTGGTTGAATCCCTAAAATTACACATCTTGTGTTTTCAATTTGATTCTGATTGCAGTCCCAGGTTTACAGCATACTGGATTTTTGCGCCATATAATATTCATCAATTATAAGTGATACATTAAAAAGTTTCTTACATGTAGTTTTGATTTTAAATATGGGATTGTAAACCTGCTAAGAAAAAGTATGACCTATGTATGATATGAAGTGTGCAGCCACGCTTTTCTTAGCTCAAGCCCAGTGGTGTCATATTGTTTGGTTTATACCAGTTTATATCTTCACTTACTCATGATAAGATTTCTTAATGCTGTACCATCAGACTGTCAAAATTTGAAAGTATGCCTTTAGTTACTTGAAGATGCTTAGTTCCTCTACATGTGTGTGTATATATATATATACATATTGGGTTAGCATGGATATTTCCATTTTGTATGGTGCTGCTTGCTAGACCCTAGATGTATGATCCCTTTTTCTTTCTTTGTTGAACTGTCCAGACATCATTTCTAGGTCATTTTCCAGCTCGAACACTGCAAATTAGAGTTGGCTTGCATAATCAACTGAAGAGGTCTCCCAATTTTCCTTATATTAAGTCACAGAAGAAAGAGGAATCATCTGAAGATGTGTTTGTTGAGCGTCCTCCCTACTCTAGTTATTTTGACTCAACATCTGGACAGCTTGAACCAGCATCTGGAGCCCGTGCAAGTATTCCAGGGCAAGAGTATTGGCCTGAAGGAACTGCTAGTCGAGTTAGGGCCGCAAGGGCTCCTGAACCAACTGGTAAATCTGCAGGCTCTCCATCATATGGAAAAAATCCTGGAAGTAGGAGGAAGAAGTACAAAACATCAGCTACTGCTGAATCTTCCCAATCTAGTGTAGAACCAAGTGAATCTGTGGTAGCTGCCATATCTGAGGACACAGTGGAAGAGCCTAAGGATTTCTTATCTGAGTATATCATTTATCAAACTGAACCAGAGGTAGAAGAAGAAACTGGGTATGATTTGGATAAGAAACTTGGACGTCCTCATTCATTTATTGATCCAAAGGTGAAGAAGCCAATTGAAGAGCCACTAACCAGTGAAGAACTATGGTGGAATTGGAGAAAGCCTGATAAAGAACAGTGGTCCAGGTGGCAGAGGAGGCGACCTGATGTTGAAACGGTTAGTGCAAGCAGTAAGAAGTACCTTGCACTACTATACTTATTCACCATGACTGCCTTCAGTTGTGTGCAATAATAGAAACAGTTTTTTAGTTTTCTTGTGTGTTGTCATGTGGAGGTGACTTTGAGGGGAAAGAGGGATCAAAACCATTTCTCTGCATGAGTGTATCTATAAAGTTTTTGACAAAAGTACAGGAGTACATTCCATGGTGAAATGAATAGATAATGCATTATTCTTGGTTTGGTTCATTCCCAAAAGAAAGGAAGAGGTCATCTTTACTAATGTTGATCTCTGAAAGAATCTTTGATTTTTATAGGTTTTTCTCAAAGCAATGGCCGAGACTGGGCAGGTGAAGCTTTATGGTGAACATCCAACATTAACTGAAACTTCACTTTACAGAGCTAGGCGTCATCTTTTCAAGGAAGAAAGGTGCTATATCTGATCTATTAATTCACTGCATGCAGTGCAATCAAATATTCATGCATTAACATGGATATATGTTGTGCGTAAAAGAATTTTGTCATCAGGCATAAATCCCACCAAAATCAGAAGAGGAAAGGGTATATATATGCTAGGAAAACACAATAACCACATAGCTGGATTTGCATCCAAGTTTTATGCTGAAGTAATTTAAATATGGACATAGGTACTGGCTTAACTAATTATTCAAATACCTGACTTCTGCCTCCGCCTCACACATTTGACAAGGTCCCAGCCCAAACCATGGTGCATATCATGAACATGACAATTCATTTCTTCTATCTTCACCCCTTTCCCCTTCTTATCTCTAAAATTTTGCAAAATACTCATTTCCAATTGGCCAAAAGGGTTGTTTGAATTCAGTGTTTGAAGTTGACTTTTGTAGAGTTAAGTACTTATGGATTTTTGCAGGCTCAAAGTTGAGCAGGAGAGACTGGAAAGAATAGGTCCAATAGCATACTACTCTGAATGGGTAAAAGCATGGAAGAGGGACACTTCACGTGAAGCTATTCAAAAACATTTTGAAGAGACTGGTGAAGATGAAACCGCTCAACTGATTGAAATGTTTTGCCACCAAACAGATCGAGAATTTCGCATTATGATGGGAACTGATGTCCGTATTCCGAGGGATCCTCTAGCAATGCGAATGAGAGAGGATCAAATAAAGCAAAGTATCTACTTTTAATCTCTTAAATTTTATGCATCATGCCTATGTTCTTTATTTGTTATTTTAACTGTTTTTTACTCTTTATCTTTCTGTGAAATATCATAAGCTCTAAATGCTTTTGGAGGTTTAACTTTTCCTTTTCGACGTATGATGCGTAATCATACAAAGCATTCCATGTGGTATTTGAGCATTGTGTACTTTCACTTCATCAAAAAGGAAAAAACACATTTACCACTTTCTTACCTCTTGCTGTCTCCATTTTGAATTTCATTTCTAAAAGGAAATTTAAATATCTTGCTTTTCATTTCCCTATATGTTAATGTGATATTGAGGCAACAACGTGCAATGTTTACTTTAAGTACTTTTTTCTCTTCATAATGATTTTTAATAATGTTTTCCTATTTTCCTTATACATTCTGATACTTTAAGATATGATCACTAGCAAGGTGCAATTTAAATATTCATTTCCTTCTCCAGTGAGTAGCATGTGTTTTCTTTTGGTTGATGACTGTGTTTTGCATTTACAGTATGGGGTGGAGATCCAGTTTATCCTACTATCAACTACATTCAAGATCCAAATGAAGTGATTGATTACAGGGGACCAGATTTTCATGAACCAACACCAAATATGCTGGCTTATCTCAAGGAGGTTAATTTTCTGATTTCAATTTTCTTTGTCTTCTCTTTTCCTTAAACATAAGAAAGAGATTCATTTGTAGCTAGCTAACAAGTTTAATATATTTTACTGTCCTATCCTTCACTCTAAATGTATAGCAAGTTCTGGTTTATGGAAAATAGAAATGACAATGTAATTAATATCACACCTTGCTAAGCCACAGTTCTGAGCTCTTGGAATTTCATATTGAAGCTTGGTAGACAGTCAATGGCTTGTTATGATCCAATTGTTAGTACTTTCTTATTTTCCAGAAGTAAAGAGTTGAGCTGAAAAACAACTTGATTCTCCTAAATAGTACTCCCAAACCCTCAAAAAGAAAATCCTTTTACAGCTATTTTGTCTGGACATTGTTTCATTATGGTGTTCCCTTTCTATCCAGAAGAATGTGACTTTGCTTTTCCTTAAGATGCAGAAATGACCAACATTTCTTCTTGTACGCATCACTTTCATATTATTTTGGATTCTAACATCAGTATAAGAACAGACTGTTGTCAGTTAACTTGGATCTCATCCCATAACTACCTGAGTTAGATCAATCCCCTATTATAAGCTGTATGTCAATTCTTTTAGACCATCTGTATAACTGAGCCTGCCTCTTGTAGTCATAAGCAAATATCACTGAAAGGGGAGAGAAATAAATCTAGAAGTATCCTCTTTTTTTTCTTTTTTTCTTTTTTTATGGTTATTACTTGATTGAAGGTGCTTCATTTTGGTCTAGGATCTCAATGCAATTCAAAGTAAAATGCAATTTAGTTGAGTTTCAAGTTTAGTCCGATCCATGAATTGGTAAACCTTTCTGTCTCTTTGATTGATTAGTGAAGGTATTTAAGAATTGGGCCAAAATAGGTTGTCAGATGTTTTAATTTTCTTTTATTCATTTGGAGGGAAAGCGGGGTGGAGGTGAAAGAAAATATATGTGGTGTTTCCCTTTGGACTCTTCTTGCCATTCCTTGAAATTCACAATGCTTTCCTTCTGCAAAAGGAAAAGAAAAGAAAATTGCTGACTTGCCCTATGTTTTATCAGCATGGCAAAATCATATCAAGGGATGAACTTCAGAAGATTCTGGCAAAAGAGAAGACTGAAGAGCTTGAGGTAACTATGATCTTCATTAACTATTTCTTTGCTCAATTGAATAAAAGTCTCTCTGGATTTATTGCATCAATTTGATGTGCTTGGATAGCATCCTTGTCTTTATCATTTTCGTTAGGTATGCTTGGTTTGATTTTATTCTTTGAGACTTTCTTACTGTTTATATTAATATTTGACCATCTTATTGATTACTCCTTGTACTCATTTAATAATATCTATGACTTGGCTGAACACCACACCCCCCCCCCCCCCAAAAAAAAAAAAAAAAAAAAAAAACAAGAGAGAAACTCAATAGCATCCTTCTTGAATGTAGGAATAATCACATTGTTCCATATAAGGATGATAACAAGCTCTATAATTACATCTGTGGCATAATTAGAATCTCGATGATGTATCTCTGTAACATTCATGGAATGGCATCATGCTCTGGATTGGTTATGTAAAGTTAAAATAGTAAAAAATTTGCTGTTTTACTAAGTAAACTACTGAATTTAACTTCAAAGCAACCCTATTCAATAGAAGTTCTAACTGTAACTAGTTTACTGATATCTTGCAATTAATGCAGATGACTGATATGGATGAGGCTATGGCACAAGCAGTTGACATTGGTGAAAATGATGTGAGTCTAATTGCCTCGTTTACTTCTGTGTTTACCATTTTTTTATTTCTCTATTTCTTTCTCCCTTAAGGGTGGTGGTTTAGTGCTGCAAAGTAAAGCAATTCTGATTGGACAGTGTACATAATACCACCATTCCTCTTTACAATTTTTTGAATAGGATGATGAAGAAGAAGACAGTAAGGCTGACAGTGAAGAAGAGGAGAAAATCACACGCAATTGGAGTGTTCTGAAAAGTACTCCTGAGCTGCGGAAGTCAAAGGTGATTCCTCTTTTTTATTCACTCCTGGTCACTTTATAAATTTCTTTTTTTTTGGTTTCTCGCCCGGTATCCGGGCTTTGCCCCAACTAATCCGGACCCGACCCGCGTCGCACACCTGGAAATGGTGGGTGAGTCTCACAGCAGAGGCTACTGCGTACACAAGGTCTCAAACTCAATACCTTGCTTAAGCTGGAACAAGCCGCTTACCACTTGATCCAACCCCTCGTTGGTCACTTTATAAATTTCTTTTTTTTGGTTTCCCGCCCGGTATCCGGGGCTTTGCCCCGACTAATCCGGACCCGACCCGCGTCGCACACCTGGAAATGGTGGCTGAGTCTCCCAGCGGAGGCTGCTGCGTACACAAGGTCTCGAACTCAAGACCTTACTTAAGCTGGAACAAGCCGCTTACCACTTGATCCAACCCCTCGTTGGTCACTTTATAAATTTCTTGCATGATTCTGTTCTTATTGTAATAATTATTGCCATTACTTTTATTGTCTCCAATTAGCCCATTTCATACTTGATGGGAACTTTTATGCAAATAGGATTAAAGCCTACTTTCATTAGGATGTAAAATTAAATTTTGGGTTCTAGATTCTTCAATAATTCATTTGTATTTTCTAGTTCTGTGCAACTTTAATCTGTTCTTCCTCAACTTTGCAGGGTAAGCCTAAAAAGGAGGGTCCCATGTCTCTGGAAGAGGCAATAGATGATTCTGAGAACATAACGGATTTTCTCTTGGACTTTGAAGAAAATGAATGAGGCCTCCTCCATTTCTAGATCATCAAGAATGAGTCATGGGATGTGAATTCTAGCAAGCAAAGCACATTTTAGAATTAGAAAGTCATAAAGAAAAAGGAAAAAGAGGATGGGGGGACGGGGATGGTTGAGGGGCAGGGTGAAGAGAAAGGTAGAGAAACAAAAGTTTGTGTAGGTCTTTATTCTTATTCTTTTTCATTTTTTAATCTTCATGTATGTTGGTCTTTGTCCAAGTCAATGAGAAACTTTGCAATATTATTATAATAATTATTATTTTCGTATTTATAGTTTTTTTCTTTTTTGAACTTTTTTGTCATGGACAGGTTCGAAACCCATCCAGGAAAGGGGGATATGCACTTTTTTAATGACACTAGCTATTAAGCCACAAGGGCCAAGTGCATTTTCGTATTTATAGTTAAAGTATCCTTAATACAACTTTCATATATCTCAAGAATTTTTAAAGTCGTATACTTCATGTCTAGTTAATGTATTCAAGGAAATTAGTAACAGTTGCTAGCCCTAAGAGAAAGTTTGCAATATAATTATAGTTCAGAGGGTCCTCAATCCTACTTCCATCTTGAAGTTTGAAGTAAACTAACCTGTATCTCTTATCTCAAGAGTTGCTTGGGGGGGAGGAATTGTTGTGCACAAATGCTTAATTGTGCTCTTCGTGTGTCAGTTTCCCTCTGACCCAAATTCAGACATGGGCTAAAGCTAAACCAGCCGCCTGGTCACTCAGTCACTCTAAGGTATCTGGCCCAACAAATTACAAATTGGGCTCTTTCAACCCATTTCATCTTGGATCCAGGATGCAGAACTAAACAGAAGGGACAACTACAAGACCCAAAACCCATTTAGGATCCATCATTTCTTTGTCACATGGAAATGCACAGAAAAGGAATAGGAAAGTGGAAAAAAGAAGGGAAAATAAGTCATCATAGTACCCTTATTTTTTTGGTGGCTCCTGTCATCATAGTACACCCTTATTCATCCCAAATTCAAAAAGAGAGGAAAACAATAGTACCATATTTTGATTTTAGGGTTTGATTTGGTCAAAAGCCGGAGTTGATGTTGATGATCAAATTTCAACTTGTTGCTGGAAAAAGTTAAATCAATGAGTGAGGCT